AGCCTTCTCGTAGCTGAAGCCGCGCACCGCAGCGCACCGCTATCGTCAGCTCGGGACCGCAACTGATAACGAGGCACTGAACGAACAGACAGGGTGTAGCCAACGATAGACAAGGAAGACGACCCACCACGAGCCCAAGCGAAATCGAAGTCCAGATGAAGGGCAGACAGAGGACCCTGTCCCCAACATCCACAAGACAAGGAATGACCGAAGCCAGGGCCGAAGCCGAAGGCAAACCAGACCCCGCCAAAAGGACAGAACCGCGGGAAGTGAAGGAAACCGCGGAGCGTGAGTGCCACACATCCAGGCTGGGAGACAACGGGAGACAAATGAATCCGTCCACCCAGAGGGGCATCCAGGCTGGGAGACAACGGGAGACAAACAAAGGGAGACAAAGGGAGACAAATGAATCCGTCCACCCAGAGAGGCATCCAGGCTGGGAGACAACGGGAGACAAATAAAGGGAGACAAAGGGAGACAAATCAATCCGTCCACCCACAGAGATGGGAGACAAATGAAGGGGAACCAAGGGAGACAAGTGAATCCGTCCGCCTGGAGAGCCGTGACAGACATCCAGGCTGGGAGACAAGGGGAGCCAAATGAAGGGAGACAAAGGGAGACAAGTGAAACTGTCCACCCAAAGAGCCGTGCCAGGCATCCAGGCTGGGAGACAACGGGGGACAAATGAAGGGAGACAAAGGGAGACAAGTGAATCTGTCCGCCTGGAGAGCCGTGCCAGACATCCAGGCTGGGAGACAACGGGAGACAAATGAAGGGAAACAAAGCCCAGAGAGCCGTGCCAGACAAATGAAGGGAGACAAAGGGAGACAAATGAACCCGTCCACCCAGAGAGCCGTGCCAGGCATCCAGGCTGGGAGGCAACGGGAGAGAGACAAACGGTGACAAATGAACCCGTCCACCCAGAGAGCCGTGCCAGGCATCCAGGCTGGGAGACAACGGGAGACAAATGAAGGGAGACAAAGGGAGACAAGTGAATCTGTCCGCCTGGAGAGCCGTGCCAGACATCCAGGCTGGGAGACAACGGGAGACAAATGAAGGGAAACAAAGCCCAGAGAGCCGTGCCAGACAAATGAAGGGAGACAAAGGGAGACAAATGAACCCGTCCACCCAGAGAGCCGTGCCAGGCATCCAGGCTGGGAGGCAACGGGAGACAAATGAAGGGAGACAAAGGGTGACAAATGAACCCGTCCACCCAGAGAGCCGTGCCAGGCATCCAGGCTGGGAGACAACGGGAGACAAATGAAGGGAGACAAAGGGAGACAAATGAACCCCTCCACCCCAGAGAGCCGTGACAGGCGTCCAGGCTGGGAGACAACCGGGGCCAAATAAAGGGAGACAAAGGGAGACAAATGAATCCGTCAGGCAAATGGAGGGAGAGGGAGACAAATGAACCCGTCCGCCGGGAGAGCCGGGACAACCCCAGGTGCCAAGAGCACCACTGGGTATCTCAGCGTAAGGTTCGTTGAACATCCTCGAAGAATCGATAGAGGATTTAACTCCAGCGTGATTCACGTTTGTTTCACCGGGGGGTTAACAGAGCCTTCTCGTAGCTGAAGCCGCGCACCGCAGCGCACCGCTATCGTCAGCTCGGGACCGCAACTGATAACGAGGCACTGAACGAACAGACAGGGTGTAGCCAACGATAGACAAGGAAGACGACCCACCACGAGCCCAAGCGAAATCGAAGTCCAGATGAAGGGCAGACAGAGGAGGACCCTGTCCCCAACATCCACAAGACAAGGAATGACCGAAGCCAGGGCCAAAGCCGAAGGCAAACCAGACCCCGCCAAAAGGACAGAACCGCGGGAAGTGAAGGAAACCGCGGAGCGTGAGTGCCACACATCCAGGCTGGGAGACAACGGGAGACAAATGAATCCGTCCACCCAGAGAGCCGTGCCAGGCATCCAGGCTGGGAGACAACGGGAGACAAATAAAGGGAGACAAAGGGAAACAAATGAATCCGTCCACCCACAGAGATGGGAGACAAATGAAGGGGAACCAAGGGAGACAAGTGAATCCGTCCGCCTGGAGAGCCGTGACAGACATCCAGGCTGGGAGACAACAGGAGCCAAATGAAGGGAGACAAAGGGAGAAAAGTGAATCTGTCCACCAAAAAAACAGTGCCAGGCATCCAGGCTGGGAGACAACGGGAGACAAATGAAGGGAAACAAAGGGGTGCCAGACATCCTGGGAGACAAAGGTAGACAAATGAACCCGTCCACCCAGAGAGCCGCGCCAGGCATCCAGGCTGGGAGACAACGGGAGACAAATGAAGGGAGACAAAGGGAGACAAATGAACCCGTCCACCCAGAGAGCCGTGCCAGGCATCCAGGCTGGGAGACAACGGGAGAAATCAAGGGAGACAAAGGGAGACAAATGAACCCGTCCACCCAGAGAGCCGTGCCAGGCATCCAGGCTGGGAGAGAACGGGAGACAAATGAAGGGGACAAAGGGAGACACATGAACCCGTCCACCCAGAGAGCCGTGCCAGATCCAGGCTGGGAGACAACGGGCGACAAATGAAGGGAGACAAAGGGAGACAAGTGAATCTGTCCACCCAGGCATCCAGGCTGGGAGACAACGGGAGACAAATGAAGGGAGACAAAGGGAGACAAATGAACCCGAGCCGCGCCAGGCATCCAGGCTGGGAGACAAATGAAGGGAGACAAAGGGAGACAAATGAACCCGTCCACCCAGAGAGCCGTGCCAGGCATCCAGGCTGGGAGACAACGGGAGACAAATGACAAAGGGAGACAAATGAACCCGTCCACCCAGACTGGATCATCCAGGCTGGGAGACAACGGGAGACAAATGAAGGGAGACAAAGGGAGACAAGTGAACCCAGGGAGACAAACGAACGCGTCCACCCAGAGAGCCGTGCCAGGCATCCAGGCTGGGAGACAACGGGAGACAAATGAAGGGAGACACAGGGAGACAAATGAACCCGTCCACCCAGAGAGCTGTGCCAGGCATCCAGGCTAGGGCTTGGCAACAGGCGAGCCACCTTAAATGAATTTAGAACCCCTCACAGTAAACTGTTTGGGGAAAAAGGGGTAAAAGGGCACTTCTGGGGGACCTAGTCGTATTCCACAGATCCTCTGACATCACAAGTCAATGGTGCATGTGTTCGCAAGTCGCTGTGAGAGACCAGCGGCGAGGACAGGCGAAGCGGAGGAAGTCCCTCACATATGGCGGTGGTTGTCAAGAATAGGGCAACCCCAAAATGGGTTGCCCTGGTGGCAACATGCGGCCCGGTGGTGGTTTAATTTTGACCCACACGCAAATGATGCATCTCCTGCGGAGTCATAGTCACAGGTGTCATTCTGTCCGCTGACACGTCGACTACTTTTACTGTCCAACTTCTGAGTCCCCCCTTGTCATGTTTGGCGTTGCAAGCAACCATTGGCAACACACATGCCGATGGCATCTTGCGATCCCTAAGGGGTCAAGTGCCTTGTCAAGAAAGCCTGAAAGCAACCAACCAGCTGCCGCTCTTTTCCCTCAAGCCATCTCAACTCTCAACGCTCTCAGCGGAGGAAGAGGAAGATCCTAGCGGTCCGGGAGCTTTGAAAAGGCACCGTTCCAAAGTGCAGAATGAAGTCATCACTCAACTAGGGAACAACAAATCTGGGCCCTCAAATACCACGCTGAAAGTGACTCACTTTTAGCGGGTTAAATGGAAACTACCACTAAACACTAAAAGGCGAAAAGGCTAAGGGGATGGCTGGGAGCCACCCAGAAATAGATGTGCCATGTGTCCGTGCTTCGGACGGCTTGTGTCAAAGCGATGCACCTGCAAGCAAACACAAATTCGAACTGCACCTCCGACGCAGTCATGGCGAAAACTCCTTGTGCGTCATGGTGAGGGTCCTTTAATACCAATGGTTGCCCAAGCTCCCTATTCAGGGGTCCATGACCATTCCTATCAACCCCAGATACACGGGTGCTTTCACCACGGCAAACAAGTGTTAAAGCGGGAAACGTCGGAAGTTAGGAAACAGGCAAGCGGGAACTGCAAGCTGCCCGTGAAAGCGAAAAGCTGAGAGTGTCAGCGGTTTTCAGCGGTCTCAAGTCATGCGCCGAAGCTTCATCTGCGCTTCGCGGAGTGGCCGGAAACATCCGAGCATCACCTTTTGTAGGTTAAAAAGTAATCATTTGGCCTTCCTCCTACTAACATGGCACCTGACAGGGGGTCCAAGAGGAAACTTGTCTTCTAGGTACCCTCCCACAGGTGGCATGTTAGTGGGAGGAAGGGTAAGTCATAATCAAAACCTGGTATATATGGTCTGCCCAACAAAATATGTAAAGAATCAAAAAAGCGGCTGTGGCTGGGATTGTCCCTTATTAGCCTTCTACCGTGGCTCATGTGTTTCGCAAAGGTCTCGTTGGGGCCAAGGTCATCAACCGTGATGCAGATGTGCCGCAATGGGGGCTGGAAGCGGGGGTCAAACTAAGGCAGTGCGTGGATCGCCAAATGCTGTTTTTTTTTTTTCCCCATGCACTTTACCCCAAAAACCGATCGCAACAGTGAGTGAAAAATCAAAAATGCAGCAACTTGGCTATCTAGGGATGGTACCCGGCTGTACCAAGCGTGTTTCCGCAGCTGCCCAGTCGTGGTAGAAGGACACCCACCCTTGGGGTTGACCAGTGGGGCCCGAACAGGCAAACTGGGAGGCTTTTCTTGTCTAGGTATTTGTTTAAGCAGGGGAACCCTCCCCCAAAAGAGGGTAAAAGGGCACTACTGGGGGACCTAGTTGTGCACTGCTTAAGAATGTGAATCCAAGGGAGATGCAGCCTGCTCAGGCCTGTTTCAAAGTCCAAGAGAATAACAGAGACAACCCACACGCACAGAGTTCCTCTTTTGACTAGACTTGAAACTAGGGGTGATTCATTGGGTTTAAGTCTATCTTGGGGTAGTCAAAAGGAACCGTGCACACACACACACATTCTGAAGGACACTGCCGCAAATCGGGAAGCCATTAAAACCCTTCCTTTGTATCCACCAGAACGAGCCCAAGAAACATTGCCAGGCCTGGCTTGGCCTTCTTGGCTGTCCGGTTCTCCTTCTTCTCCTGGCCAGTGCTTCCAGTTTCTCACTAAAGGAAACTGGGCGGCAAGCCCTGGGCGGGCAATCGGTGATGTTTTTCTCTGGGCAAAAGCATGAGAGTGATCTCACTGTGTCATTGGCATAAGACAACCACGCCACTTTGTTTGACCCCATATTAATCAACCCCAGCTTGTGAATACGCGGGTCTCTGGGTTTTGTGGGGATTCATCATCTTTGGAGGCGAACACCCCCGATATTTCGAAACTGGGGTTGATTAATCTGGGGTCAACATTATAGTACTGAGGGGGTTGCAACGGTAAAATTGTGGGGCCAGTCCACGGTGTACCTCTAGGCTTTACATGATGGTTGCTGGCCTACGAAAGTGTTAACTGCAAGCACTGGACCGGGGAAATAACAACTCAATCACGAATTCACACTCCTTCCGCCTTGTTTGGAAGAAGTCCACCCATGACATGTAGAGCTGCCAAAGTGCAGAAAACACCAAAGCACAGTGCCTTCTTCTGCCGCTTCTTCTCTTTCTTCGCACGCTTCTTTTCACGCCTCGACACTTCTCCGCAAATAATTCGGAAGAGCCTTGCCTCCAACTGTCCATCTCAAAGAGCAATCTCTCAAGACAAGTTGTAGGAAAGTTGTAGGAACAATCTCGAAGTTTGCAAATAGGAAGCAGACTCTGAACCTTCCAAGTGGAGCCGCGCACACCACAGTCCACGGCCGAGTCTGCTCGGGACTTCAAAGCGGCAAGGCCGATGACTCGGCAAGCCGAGCCGCTTCTTCTCCTTCTTTGCCTTCTTCTCAGCCTTGGACGCCGCCTTCGCTGCCTGAGCGTGGGCGCGGTCTCGCAGTGCTTCGTTGCTTACCCATGGGCTGTGCAAACCGATCCCATGCTAAAAGCTGAACTTGTCGTGCATGAATGGAAGCTACCACTGAACCAACTAAGAACCTAAAGTCTAAGGGAATAGAACAAAAAGATGAGGGAAAAGGAGTACAGCAACTAGGAACAGATCAAACTGTTTTTTCCCCGCAACATGCAAAGGGTTTTGGGCCACAGCTAAGTTGGGATCGGAGTTGTGAGCTCAGCTTCTCTCATGGTTGCTGCTATCCAGTTGAATCACGCAAAAATGACACAAAACTGACAACACAAAGCCATCCATGAGTTCATCATGGGGTTTCCGATGACTTTGGCGCCAAACACATGGGCAACTTACAATTCCTTCAGTCCACTGGACAAAAACATATTGCCGGCAGTGATAGATTCCCGACACAAAACTGACAAAACAAAGCCATCCATGAGTCCATTACGGGGTTTCCGATAACTTTGGCGCCAAACACATGGGCAACTTACATTTGCTTCAGTCTACTGGAAAACAATAAAACAATTATTTCCAGTACTGATAGATTCCCTTTGAAACCAAAGGGGAGAATTAAGAACATATTAAATTCACTTCAGCAAATGGAAGGCAACCGTGTTGCACGTTCGGCTCGGCCTTCTTCTGTTCTGCACGCTTCAGAACCTGCGTCCACGCGCAGCAGTGGATGTGAACCACTCCACGCCAACAAGGCCGTGGTGACCAAAAACCAGCCCTCTGTTGGCGTGTTTGCCCCCTGAACAAAAATGTGAAAATCTGTTGAAACGTGAAATTGGTTGCCTCTAAAACCAACAGGAAAACATGAAAACAAGGACTTTCCCAGCACATGGAAATCTCTTCAGAAGTGAAATCGAGTCCCTTTCTAGGTCCTCCAGATTTGAGAGGGTACCAACAATTTTACGGTTTTGTCTATTTTACTAGGGGGCCCTCCCCTACAAAGGGGAGAGAAAGGGCACCTAGCTGGGGGACCTAGCTTGAAAACCAACAGGTGAACAAAAACAAAGATTTTCGGATGGAAGGAGCAACCCACTGGTCTGGGTTTTGCTGGGTGTGCCCCTCTTTCGTGCCATTGTTCAGTCGGAAAAAAAATCTATAGAGCCCTGTCAAAGCCAGATGCCGCGACAGTGTAGGGCATCTCTGAGAAGAAACACCGAGGAAAACAAACAGCGTTAGGATACATGCCATGCTTCACTGACCATCACACATAAAAGGCAGATATATATCACATCGTGCTTTTGTGACTAAGGGCAGATTTCGGCCAGACCGTTCTTGCTCGTGAGGCGGGACGCAGAGTGTGACCCTTTCGTCTCAACTATGGGTTGCCAGGAAATACGCAAAGCCAAACGGGTACCCTCCGTTTGCTTGAGTCCCCTAGAACCAACAAGGGAAAATCCAACAGCCTCTTGCCCAAACAGAAGGTGCCCTCGTTCCAATGTACGCTGACGGCTGACTGGATTTGAAAAGCCGTCCGTTGCAAAGGCCTTCCTTCCATGTTGGATCGAGCTGGTAAACTAAGCTTAGGATGAATGTGGGTGTGTCATTTTTTAAGGATGACCCCCCAAAAAGGTGGTTTTCCTTAAAACCATCCAAAAAGATGTATTCTCAACAAAGAGACACCCATGCATCCCTCCACACGCAATCCAGCCGCTTTGGAGAAAACAAAAAAAACAACCTCTCTCTAGAGCGAGGCCACACCATCCTCGTTGTGATAACCCTGGAAACAACCACATGCCCAGCTATGAAACGGACAGAGCCCCAACGGGAGCCCCGCCCCTTTCGAAAGGGACATAGTCTAGGGGTCCTGACATTATACACCTGAACATTGCCTTGTTTGCTGGTGGTTTCCCTGTATTTTGGTGTTGAAAAAGCAACATGTCTCAAAATTGTTGCAACATGGTCTTCTTTTTTCTTTTCTTTTTTCGGAGCACTGTCTGGCGAAGGGTCCCAGCAGATTCCATGCTTGATCCTGTCACAAAATCCGGAGACCCGTTCTCATCCTTTGGGCGTACCACCAGTGATATTACATACCTTCCATTTGGTTAAGACCAATGGACAAATGAGAAAAGTACTTCCAGTAGTGATAAATTCCTTTCAAACCAACAAGGTAAAATAATAATCATAAAAATAATAAACAATAATACGAATAATAATAAAATCATTTCAGCAAATGGAAGGCTCAAAACGATGGATTCGGTCTCTGGTCTATTTTAGTGGGGGTTGGGATGTTCACTGGGGGATTTTGGGGGTTGACCCATGGCCAAATGAGCCGTATTTTTTAATGGTGTGGGGCCTATACACTGGAAGCACATACCTACGCGGAGGCGACGCGGCTGTCTTTCCCCCTAGGAGTTTGGCTACGCTACGCGGAACATATTTGTTGACAAGTGGCTACGCGGGGGGCTACGCCGGGGCTAAGCGAATATGCGTTGGCAACCGGAAGTAGTAGTAGCACCAGCAGCAGCAGGCGGTAGTCGTAGTAGCAGAAGTAGCAGAAGTAGCAGAAGTAGCAGAAGTAGTAGTAGTTGTTGTTGTTGTTGTTGTTGTTGTTGTTGTTGTTGTTGTTGTTGTTGTTGTTGTAGTAATCCACTCCCCCTATTAATGAGTGACCCCTATTAATAATAAATGCAAATCCGGGGCCCGAGCCCAGATTTCCACTCCGCACAATTGCTTTTCCATTGCGCCAATACTAAACCAATACTAAAGTCTTGGAATCCTTATTAGGGGGCACTTTTAGCAACCTTCCAGCCTCACTTTTCAAAAGGTGGGTTCCTCAATTCCCCACAAGGATGCTTCCCCAAAAGCTGGCTTCCCCAAAAGGTTGGGTTCTTTTGGTGGGTTCCCCAAAAGGTTGTTCTTGACTCTCTCCCCAAAAGGTTGTCCCTGGTTGTCCCTGACTCCCTGACTTCAATGCAAACAAGTTTCAATGCTTTGGGGGATATTAAGGAAACCAGTGCCTCCACAAAGGGTTCGAAGGGGGGTAAAAGAACTGGCTGCAGACTGTGTTTGTCACCTGGCTGCGGTCTGTCTGGTCTGGCTGCCTGGGCAGAGCTCTGTCCTGGGTTTGCACCAAAAAACTACGAAACATCCTTTCTGCCTGGCTGTCCCGCTTTTTGTAGGGGTTATGGGGAGCCAAACCACACTTACTCCGCCCTGGCTGCCTTGCCTGCCTGGCTAGCTGCACCCAGCTAGGCTGACCTAGCTGTCTCTGTCTTGCCTGGCTGGCTCCAAAAGAAGCTCTCCCAGCAGTGCAGCTCAAACCAGAAAAGCAACAACAACATCAACAACGGCTAATTAGCTTCATATGTCAAACAACTGCATATATATATATATATACATACTTAACAACACCAAAAGCTGCATTTTGGGGGCACTTTCGAGGCAGTCCTTCTGTCTGGCTCACCTATGCCCGGAGGCAAAGGGTGATCCACGAAAAAGGCGGTCCAGCCTGTCTGGCTCTCACCCAGATTTCCTGCTTCCACCACTGACCAGTGGATTGGCAAGTGGTGCCATGAGAGAGTGGATCTGGCCTATGCAAGCCAGCCACGAAAGAGCCTTAAGCATAGGCTGTGCACTTGTGCGGTCTTCGGCTCTACAGCTGTCACAAGCATGCGTCAGGTCTACCATATGCACAAGCTGGAGGTCTCCCACAGAAACGTCCAGTGCACGCTGCCTGACTGCCTGACTGCGGCCTGTCTCAGTCTGTTCATCATTGGCTTCCTCCAGCTTGCGCAAGGAGTCGCCCCAGAAGCCATAGTAGCTGGCCAGCAAAGCAGGGACTGTATGGCTGGCTGTCTTTACTGCTTGTGAAACAAACTTTAGTGCCAGTCCTGTCTCCTCTCACGTGGATGCACGCAGGCCCCCCCACCTGTGGAGGCAGAGGTTGAACGCCGACTTGATGCAACCATTGGCCTGCTGCAGGGTGTGGTCCGGACGATGAAACAGGTCAGGGTTAGGGTTGCGATGGCAATTTGCAACGAAGCGTTGGAAAACACACTTAGCAAGGAATTCGAAACGCTGGCGTTACTTTGTGCCAACAGGGCGACAT